AAGAACTTAATCTGAATTGTTTTGACTTAAGATCATAGCAGTGGATAAGTAAAGTATTACATTCAATGCCCTTGTACTTCTCAGGTTGATAGCATGAAGTGCTATTTTCCTTCTAATTATTTTATAACATTCCTCACTTATTGGGCTTTGTCCAGTCCACCAACAAATTAGGTCAATTAATATAAAAGATGTGTTGTACAAAGTGAAACAGATAAAGTAAAAGATTATAATTGCTAGCTACAATGAGATAGTGTCCTTGGGAGTTAATTCAGTATTATAGGGCATAGTGTTATTTTAATGTGTTTATTTTTCTCTGTTATTTTCAGTTTAAGCTGTCACAATGCACTGTGTCACAATCTTTGCAATATGTTCTAATAGTGGAACAATTCAGGTGTAGTGCATTGATTGTGAAGTTAATATAATTTATACATTATGAATATAAATAAGATATTGAGACTAGAGTATTGTAAAGTACAATGTGAACTGTATATGGAATTAGGCATTTTATACTTTTATACATGAATCAGGAGAAGCCATAGTGCTTGGCCAGGTAATATAACCTAAATAATGTTATGACTAAAGTAAAATGCAGTGTTATCATCATGCAGGCAGAATAGATTAGTCCTGGTGAAAGAACAAGAAAATCATGTCTTATGAGTTGCAGTCTGAATACAATTTCTGGATGAATGGTGAAAGCATATGTAGTTGTTTGCTCCAATATATTTCTTCTGCAAATAAATACTGTTTGGTATCTGCTTTATGCCATACCATTCTTGGTGTGAACATAATGAAGTTCCTGCCTATATGGGAGTTTATATTCTAGGGGGAGATATGCCTAACAAGTGAAAACAAACGTATGATGGGGCTCCCTTGGCTAAGTGTTAGAAGAAAAATAAACCAGGATAAGGGGATAGAGTGATGGTTTGAGGAAGGGGTGGCCTCTCTGATGAAGGGAGGGTCAGTAGAGACCTGAATGGAGGTCAGGGATGAGCCACTCTGTATCTGAAGAAAGAGCACAGGAAGCAGAGAGAAGAGCAAATGCAGAGGCTCTAAACTGGAAGCATAGTTGCTGAGTGCTTCAAGGATTCAGAAAGGAGGCCAGTGTGACAGAACAGAATGGACAAGCCAGAGAATGGGAGAAGATGAGAGCAGAGGGAGAAACTTATGTGCCAGGGGGAGGATTTTACTCTGAGACAGGAAGCCATTGGAAAAATTGGAGCAGACAAATGACATGATCTGAGAGTTCTGAAAAGATTAGTCTAGCTGCTGTGAAGAGGTTACACTTTAGCTTCCTGCAACTCCATCTCCGAACAGCTGTGCTCTTGAGTTTGTAATTAATCCTGGGTTTTTGTGGGCCATGCTTCAATGCCAAAGGTAACACAGAAACATCTTTACTGTGTAGACAGATGATGTCAGTCACGGCTTTTGTCATGGCGAGTTGTTGGGAAGATAATTGATTGACTACACAAAGAATGATCAAAAAGTACGGGAATAGTTTTCAAGGTGACCAGGAACTTGGAATAAACTCAGGTATATCTTTACTCTGCTTTTACAGCCTTCTTACATTCTGAAAACTCAGATGAAAAATTCTTGGCAAAACTTGCTTCTGTCACTGAATTGCTCAGGATTCTTAACATGTTTTAAGATAGGATCACTTTGTTTTGTTTCAAAACAAGCAGAGGAGAGGGAATGAATTTAGAAAACTTGTCTACTAAGATTGAAAACTATATCCTTGCCACCATTTTTCAATCACTGAATTATCAAATATAAAATGAATTGGTAGAAATTGTGACATTGTTGGCAATAACACAGGGATGTAAGGCCTTTCATCATTATAGGTAAAGTCATTAATTGATGCCTCCTTTTTTGAAGAGTACATACAAATACATATCAAAAGCTTCTAAAAGTATCCTTTTCTTTGACTCAGAAATTCCAATTCCAGCAATTCATCCTAAGGGAACAGTCAGAAATAAGTATGAAAATGATTGTAAGTGGTATTTGACATAGCTTTATAATCTCACACACACATAAAATGGAAATAACTCAGTATCTAACACCAGGCAATCGATTAATCAAATTTCAGTAAAACCTTATCAGGACAATCTATGAAGTTATTGAAGGATCTTTTTTATTTAATGATATGTGGAAACAGTGACACTATATTGCTAAATGAATAAAATGGGATACAAAATGCTATCTCTAGTAAGACTAGAATTTAAAAAGTCCTTAGAAATACACCAAAAGGTTAACTAGTAGTTCTGAGTGGTGAAACTAGGAATATTTTTTTCATCTTTGTACTTTTTTAACTATTCAAACTTTAGGTAATAAATATTTACTATTTTTATGTTTAGGGAAAATATAGTAGTTACTCTTAAATATGTTTGTCTTCATAATAAAAAGCTAATATTATAAGAATATTCTGAAAAGAACATTGAAAAATAAAATATCTTAAAATATCCTATATCCTTTGAGTGGTGCTTTTCTAAGGAGTTCTCTGCATGAGCTGCTTTCATTTTGCTACAGCTGTTGTAAGAACTGCCACTCACCTTTGCTTTTGATGATCGCCTTTATAGAGAGGTAAAGGAGAGGAGCCTTGAGGGGTGAAGGGCTAAACAGATGGAGGAAACAAAGTAATGTGTCCCACTGGTGGCACGGGATTCTTGGCGTGCAATTTCCCCCTTACTATGGTCAAGTGGACAAGGTTAGACACTGGCCAAGTTCTTGCTTTTATGTGTCAGTTTCAAAAATCATCTGAGAAAATATGACCTAGTGAGGTCTTTTCTGGTCTCAGACCTAGTAAGTCCTTGATGCTCGGGCTAGGGTCCCCCATTCTTGCTGGATCTGAAGCAGACAACACCTAACTATACAGGCTCTCATCCACTATCAAAGTCTAACCCTCCAGGGGCAAGCCAGCAGCAGTGGGCAAGTGGGGATTATGGTCCTGATACAGACGGACTACACGCTTCACTGTCGATTCTGAGTGAGTTGTAATTTTCAGATTATGCTAGTCCTGTTCGGCTTCCTAAAATAATCTTTTGGTTTAATAGCTGCTTATTTTTGGTTTAATAGCTGCTAATTATTTACTTTAATTATTATTGGTATTATAAGCCATATTTCTTAAAAAATTTTTTTGTTGAGGTATATTAGACACACAATATTATATTAGTTTCAGGGATACAGTATAATGATTCAATACTTGTACAATAAACCATATTTCTTTATAACCTGTGGACTACTTGGAAAAACTTAGATGTCTTGTTAGTTCTGATGCAAAGCTTCAAGTAATTGCTACAAATTCAGACTCCCTCCCATCCTCCTGTCCTACTCTCCTTGGGGTTTCTATTGCTCGGTCAACTAAGCAGATTTATATACAAAGACTTAAAACACTTCTTATTTAAATTCTCTAGTTATACAATGTTAACATTACTTAATGGGTAAGATGATATTTAACTTATATATGTCATATTTATAACGTTCCTGAAATAAAAGTTGACTTGATAACAAACCCAACTATAACCTAATTGTCATGAGTTGATGTCATCTTTAAATTCTGTTGTGAAAAACTTTTTTTATTTGGCATATGGGATGAATGAATAAAACAGATTCAAAGCATTTTTTAAAGAATCTATTTCCACTACTATATCCAGTGCCTCTTTTCATTTCCATGTTTGTTCTTTTGAGATTAATAGAGTTTAGGTTATTCCATTTTTACACCCAATGCCACATGAGGCAGATATTTCATTATTTGTTTCCAGAGGGATCAGTAAGTACCTACCTACCTTAAACTGAGCTAGAGACCAATTCTAGTTGTTGTTGCCAAAGTACTGTTTTTAGATCAGTTGAATCAGAATATCTGAGAGGAAAGAAAGCAAGAAAGTAAAAAAGCAAGAAGGGAGGGAGGGAAGGGGAAAAGGAAAGAAAGAAGAAAAGAAGGAATGAAGTAAGGGAAGAGAGAAAAAGGGAGGGAGAAAGGAATGAACATTTGGAGATACCACGTTCTTATCTAAGGGGGCAGATCTAGGTCTAGCATTACTTACTAACCAGAGGTTAATTAACCAGAAGGTATCATAATGGTAAATTTCAGGGTTTTAGGGACATGAATTATCAGATGATAAAGAGGGGATGGAGATGGGGACATGTCAGAAACTAAAGACAAACTTAACTGATACAGTCTTGCCTAGAGTCATACAGGACTGGGGGATGGTACTTAAAGTAGATAATATTCGTCGTCATCGTCATCATCATAGCTATTATTAAGTGCTTAAGCATTTGCTAATAAGTGAAGGATAAGCAAGCCCTACATACAGTACTTCATTTAATCCTCCCAATAACTATTGAGTAGGTATCTCTTTTTGACAGTTGAGTAAACTGGGGCTTAGGCTTAGACCAAAGGTGGCAAGTATGGAGCAGGGGACTTGAACTTAGTTCTGTGTGCTCCTGAAGTTCTGTGCTAGTAATCAGCTGCAGATAACTGGAATTTCTACAACAGCTTTTACTGTCAAATTTATGGGTATCATGCAAAGCTTTATTGCTTTGTCCATATGGAGTAGTACTTGGGTCAAGCTACTAACATCTGCTAATGGATGAAATGCTCATAGTTTAGTCAGCTCTGGTAGTTGTAACAGTTTCAAAGAGCAGTGATGACCAGTGTTATAAATGCCATAACACACATTACTAGAAAGGAAAAGGCAACTAAACTCCTTTTAGCTTCATTTCATTGCATGTGCATTTAGCAAATCTGTCCCTGCTTCTGGCTGTGGTTGTTTTTTTTTTAAGTATTTTTTTTGCATGAATTTCTTAACCTCATGATCTTCTTTTGTGTTTTCTTTTTGAAATCATAGCTTGGAAGCCGTTTAATCTTGATAGATTTTAAAAACAAGGTCACATTTTAATGTGAATGCTTTTAAATTAATCCCTTGCTGAAATGATGTGAAATAGATCAGCAATATTCCCATGACCTGTTTTTATACCTTTTGATATTTTCTATGATCTGCAATCAGCTGGACAGATAATAGCGGATGCCATGGAACCTGGCCACCACTGCCACTCTGGCACCGAGTCTGGTGTTCACAGCACAGATGAGGAAGAGAAGCACTCGGGGACGCCGGAGATTGACACAGATGCAGGTAAGGGCACATCATTACCCAGGAAAGACCTTCAAAAATCCTCTGCAAAAGACAGCCCCATTTCCATCTTTCATCTTTCTATCCTTGTTTCCTCCTTCTTCCACTTTTATTTTATTTTCAACTACTGAATATGGTGGCAGGAGGTGGTTGAGAGGCCTTAAGGGGATCTTTAAAGCTGACATCAGATATGAATGTTATTACTCTCTTTTGAATACATTGATGCCTAGCATGGAATAAAAAAAAGACTTTAGATTCTGAAAAAAGTACTGGTGGGGATTTTCAGATCAGTCTCATTTTATAGCCTGCCCCCCAGTTACTTGGCCAGGCAGGAGGTTTTGTCTAACTGACCTATTGGAGATATGGAGAGCCATGGCACCTTTCACAGTGATTTATTTGAACTTAGTTTTTTAAAAATTAGGAGTATTTCAGCTGTAAGTGTGCCAATTAGAGTAATTCAACAGACCATGGACATATATGGCCAAATGTCCTGTGTCCTTAAAATCAGGCTTCCCCACAATTAGTGGATGGCTTTTTAGAAAAAAATGCCCTAATTTGAATATATGTATGCATGTATATGGGATAAAGGTCATATTAATTTTATTCATCATGTGGTCATATTACCCCCATATCACATTTTAATGATTGTCATTCATTAAACACTATGAATTATTTTAGGTTTTACCCTATTTTCAAGTATACATGTTTGCTGGTCACAGTTTTATGGATACTAGCAAAAGACACAAGACTCCTGGGTCAGAGAAAAAGGACTTTATTTCTTCCAACAAATAACATTTGCCAGATGATTTGCACTCCTGCTGCCTCCCTGAGCTCTAATTCCCCTCAGGCAATGTGGAGAGGGTCAGGTGACACTTGAACACGGGGTGGACTGAGTTACAGGAGCAAGACCCTGAAGTCAGAGAATCCAAATCTTTTATAGTAGGCATTCAACCAGAGATGTTCCAGTGTCCCTCCCCCAGACACTCTGCCATGCAGGAATAGTAGTTGTTATTGATCAAATCTGATTCAATCAAGAAAATATAATATATTGCAAGCAGCAGGAGGAAATGTGGAAGGAAGATCTCTCAGGGCTTTCTGTGTGCTAGGCACTGTGCTAAGCATTTTCTGGTTCACTGTGAGAAGGATTCTGTGAATCAAGCATTGTTATTCCTACTTTACGGATAAGGGAATGAAGACTTAGCTATTTTCTCAAGCTCATTCAACTAGTAAGTGGCAGAGCTGGCATCCTCACCAGGTCAGTCTGAATCCTAAATACACACTCATCCCACTAAATCAAATTGCCCTTTTGTGAATATTGCTTGCTCTATATATTCATTTCTTCCCCAAAGGTCCATGAAGTTACCATAAAAAAATATGTTATGTTTTTGTACTGACATTTCTTAGTAGGGCTTCAATTCCTCTTTCTCCCTTGCTTCAGGAATGTCATGTCTGAATCCTCTTTAGTTTTGTGTGTTCATATAATAGCTCAGCTGGATGACATTAGGACTTTCTTTTATAGAATTTAGCCAGAGTATATTATTACACTGTGACCAGGCAATTTTATTCCCTTGTTTTCCTGAATGTTCTTTAATTAATCCATAAATTGAGAGGCGAGCTTAGCAAACAGAAGACTTTATTTAAATGTTTTTCATAACTAACTTTTTAATATACTTTCATGTAGGACTTTGAAATAACAATAGATACACTATTAAAGAGACTTGACACACACTGTTGTTTCTCATTGTTTTAACTTTGTTCCAAATTCAGTAATAATCTGTAACGAAATAGAATGGACCAATGAAATGAAATATAAATAATGAAATAAAATCCTTTTAGGTGAATTGGCTGCATGTTCTCTGAGTGAACATTTGGTTCTATATTTCCCTCTGGGAGCTTCTAGGTATAATTTAGTAAATAACTGCTGTGATAAGCTGCACACCATCCATAAAAGTCAACACAACCCTATTAATAGATCTGAAATTTCTGTTACTCCTTTGAAAGAAGACATGAAAAGTTAACTTCCAAATACATTTCTTAAGGGAAATGTAATATTAGCTGTTTACTTCAAACGTGTTTATTGTAATAGCTGACAAGAGACCAAGGGAATGGAACAAAGGACACCGTGTTTTGTGTTAGAAGAGGAAAGGAAGTGGTAAGATAGTCCTGGATGGGATATCAAAATAGGAAAGAAGGAAATAAGATTAGGGCTTTAGGTTTCTGGTCGATTGTTGGTGATGGGGTGAGGGGTGAGATGGCTAGCCAAGAAGGCAAGTAACAACAGAAAAAATGAGGAAGGCTTATTTACCTGCTCTGTAAGTTTACACAATTTGGATGTTGACACCCTGGTGTGATAACTTATTTTATAGCATCTAGTTCAATGTTTTCTATAGATGAAACAGATTAGACTGATAGAAATGATTAAGATAACCATTTTAGAAGCTCTTCTCTTCCTGAGTATTATTTTGTGGTTGGAAAATTTTAATGCTTTGGATATTTAGCATGACATGCCTTTACTTATTTTGCATGGATCATTTGAACAGAAATACGTATATTTGTTAAATAACAAAAATCCATTTGCAACCTTTTAAGAAACATATTGAACTTACATTAAAATATAATAGCTAGTATACACAGATTTGCCAGGGAATTATGGATGAGAATTTATGGAATACTTCAAGAAGCCTATTTATGTTGAAAATTGTCCCAGACTACAAAGTTCTGTCTTGTTCTGTGATCCTGTTTTGCCAAAGGCAAATCAGTTTCTGAACAAAGATAGGAAGTATCCTGACCTATAATACAAATTGGTGTCTTTAGTAAAAAGTCTTACCTTGAGCTACAAAATTATTTGATGGCTAAATCTAGATATAGTAGCTTTAAAATGTGGGAGTAATGTATGGGATAATGATCAGCTCATACTCTATTATGATTGCTTTGCTAAATGCCCACGAGTACAAGAAACTTAGGCCAAGGCCAGGCATATTATGATGCCATAGGGAACAATGATTTCTAAGCAGATAAAATACTATTTTTCTTATTGCATAGTTTTTCAGCAAGTCCTAATATTTCAAATGAAAGTAGGAGGCATGTGTGTGTGAGACAGAGATTTTATTGTGCCAAGAAATGGAGTTTTGTTTTCAACAGTTGTGGTGCTCAATTTTCCCTTAATATCGATGTGTCCATTAAATTTGATAGCATTTCTTTTCATCATGAAAAGCTATTATTAAATCATGGTGCCATTACAGTTGATGGAATCATAGAATCAAGGAAATGTTTTATCTGTAATATCAATGGCCCCTTAATATTATATATAAATATCTCTTTTAAAAGATTAGGTACACTGTCTTCCCCCTTGTGCACTTTAATTAAAGTAACTTTGTTTTCTATCCTTATTTTATAGCACCAAATAAGAATTTAGTGGTGAAGGAAAGGGCAGCACTCAACTCAAACAAGGAATCCAAGCAAGCTGCATTAGAAACATATATACCGGAGAAGAAGGAAGCGGTGGAGGAAGATGAAGCTCCCCAACACAGGGAAGCTGACACAATGGAAGAGCAAGGGGCTGCAGCGCTGCGGAGAGAGGCGGAGGGTCACCACGTTCCCTTAAGGCAGGGGACGCTAACTGCTGGGCTGCCAGCGCCAGTGGAACGGTTTGCCAAGGAAAGAGAGGCGCTTCCGGGCCCAGCTAGCAGGGCGGAGGCAGACGCAGCCGGGGCTAGAGGGCTGCATAAAGCGGCGGTTAGCCCCTCGGGAAAGGCAGCATCAGGAGGCTCGGGCGGTTGGGATGAAGATGAAACTCCCGGCGAGCTGGCCTTGCTGCACAACGCCCTGCAGACAGAGAAGGCAGCTTCTGAGGAGGAACGGGGCTCCGAGGAGGCGGCACTGACGGGCAGGGCGGCGGCCCTGAACTCAGAGCGCGCTGAGGCGGAGGCAGCGCCCAGGGCGGCAGTTGCCGCTGGGAAGGGCGAGGCCGAGCCGGGGGAGGCTGGGAGGCAGGCGGCGTCTGAAAGGCCGGGTGTGGAGCACAGTGTAGAGGAAGCATCCACAGACCTAGAGGCCATGGCATCCGTGGAAGACGCATCCAAGAGACAGGGTGGTTCAGGAGAGGCCATACGTGGGGCGGAGGAACAGGCCCAAGAGAAGGAGGCAGCGACGGAAACGCCAACGCCTCGGAGGTCTTTGGCTTCTGTGATGGCCGCGGCAGCCCCGGCGGGCGTACTGGGGGACAGGCTGCAAGGACTTTCTAGGGGAGACGGGGAAGGGGAGGGCGTTCAGACCGAGGCAGGGGCTCCTAAGGAAGGTGACAGGAAAGAAACAGCGTCCGAGGAATTTGATGCAGCGGCGGAGACGAGGAAATCTGAGGGGCCGGAAGCCCCTTGCAGGGAAACGGAATCCGCGGGAGAAGCGGGGCCAAGGGCGAAGGCCCTGCGGGAGGAGAGCAGGTCGGGCGCGGAGAACAAGTTTAGACGGGGAGGTGACGCAGCCCTGACGGAAGTAAGGCCCGAGGAAGAGGCGGAAGCCCCCCAGAAAGAAACGGTGGGTGAGGCTGCGGATGAAGCTGAGGGCGCCGCTGACCTGGCCGAGGCCGCAGGGTCGCCAGGAGACGGAGCCGCGGCTGTGCTGGAGGCAGCACGTGGACTTGAAGAGTCATTAGGAAACGAAGGAGGGGAAGGACGGCGAGAAGCAGGAGCCGCAGCGCCCAAAGGCAGAGCAGAGCGGCCGGGCAGCAGGGAGGCGGCCGCCTCGGCCCAGGACGAAGGGCTGGGCCCCGAGGGCGAGGGCGCCGCAGCGCCCGGGCGGGCTGAGCTGGCCACAGAGGCCCAGGACCACGGCGGCCGTGCAGGACCGGGAGGGAGGGGTAAGGAAGAGCCTTTACAAGGGCGACAAGGAGTGGGGGGCACAGTGATGACCCTCGAAGATGTTCCTGAGGGAGATTCTGTGATGGCAGAACAGTTGAGTGAAGAAGTGATGGAAAAGGACCCAGAGAGGGAGGTGGAAGAGTGCACTGTGGGGGCAGGAGTGACGCGCACCAGGCTCACAGAGGAGGACCGGAGCGTGCAAGCATTAGTAGCGTCTGATGAAAACATCCCCCAAGGAGAAGGAGAGGCAGAAAGGGCCGCAGAGGAGAGGGAGGCGTCGACAGATTTGAAGACAGCTGAAGGGAAAACAAAACCAAATAAAGCCTCCTCCTCTTCAGATGTTGCTGGTGAGGAAACTTGGCACGAAGTGGATGAGTTACTAGGAAAAGAGGCAGCTGCAGAGAAGGCAGCCGAGGGGGAAATAGCGCTGAGCAGGGAGGATGTGCCAGCGGCAGAGGCGGTGACACTGACTGGGGCACCAGAGGCTGAGGCGGGAGCTCTACAAGAACCTTCAGAGCTGGAAGGAAAGGCCCCGCAGCTGGGGCAGGATGGGGAGGGGGGTGCCGCTGAAGCCACTCTGCAGGCAGAGGCCTTGGGAGAGGAGGGGAGCACGGGGGGCGGTGATGGGGGTCAGGGGGCAGGCGCAGCTGAAGAATTCAGCCCAGGAGTATCCCAGGAAAGAGAATCAGAGCCCAGTAGAGAGAGTCCACAGGACGTTGAAACACACCCTGGAGGGCCCGACTGCACTGGAATCCAAGAGAAGCAAGAACAAACAGTGCAAAGGGAAAGTGAGAATGCAGATGTGTCCCCGAGCAACATGGAGGCCGAAGAGACTTCGTGGCACACGTGAGTTTCAGCCTGTTCTGTTTGCAAGTGTACACACACACACACACACACACACACACACACACACACACACACACATTCTGCGGCTTGGCCCCAAGCCCATCCTCCCTGGGGCTGTCTCACTGAGGCGGGGCCACGGCACACACAGGGACCCGCTTCTATTCCTTTCTCAACTTAAGGGAAAGTGAGAATGCAGATGTGTCCCCGAGCAACATGGAGGCCGAAGAGACTTCGTGGCACACGTGAGTTTCAGCCTGTTCTGTTTGCAAGTACACACACACACACACACACACACACACACACACACACACACACACACATTCTGCGGCTTGGCCCCAAGCCCATCCTCCCTGGGGCTGTCTCACTGAGGCGGGGCCACGGCACACACAGGGACCCGCTTCTATTCCTTTCTCAACTCTCTCCCTTATGGGGCCTCCAAGATGAACTACAGGGAAAATGTGCCACAGGGACACTCCACAGAAGGAGAGAGTCAAACTTGATTCCAGAATTCATTTCCCTTTTAGTGTCTAAAATGATGCCTGAGATTATGTGCCTTTAAATGGGCTCTATGCCATCATTTCTGCATTTTTGTGAAGTTTAATATATGTATGTATACATATATATAGCATAAATATATTAGAATATTTAAAATACATAAAAATTATAGAAATACATAAAAACATGTGTGTATATGTGAAATACTGACTACAGTAACTAAAGACCGAAATTGTTTTTAACAGTCCTTTGTATTCCTGTTTTTCCATGCCTTATATCTTTGTGCCCAGATTCAACTTTACTGAGTAAGTATATTCATAGTTCTACTATCCATATTATTTTTCAGGATATTTTAAAGGTATCTTCTGGAAGACTTCAACGGTGGAGGAAGACTCGCCAAAGCATCTTGCTAGAACTTTAGAACTTTAGCCTTTTTTTTTAAAATCACTGTGCTTGTCTGAGCTGGTAGACCAGTAAATGACACTTCAGTCTGTCCATGCTGGTGGGTGGTAGGTAGTGTGTGTGTACCTTGAGAATAGCTGAATAGATCTGTAGGCCTCTCAAGAGGGGCTCTGTTTCCTAATGGAGGACTGTGAGCCTGTTAACATATTCAACATAGCTAACATGTCTATATGCAAATCAAACTGATAGTTTTCAAATGTTTGGTTTTTACTGAAGATGACCTGAAATGTCCAGTCCTGACATCTGGGGTTTGTTTAAATTTTTTTTATTTTTAATCAAATATTAGTCCCAGTTCCATTCATGAGAATTTTTTTAAAAATCTGTGGCTTGGGGCTTCAATGACTTGGTTTATACAAATGAGCTCAAAAGGTCCTTCCATGTACACTCAATACTAAAGATTTCTGTAGACCTCTAAGTCCTTCCATAAAAGGATTCCATGGCATGCATACTCACTTACACTTAGAAATATTCATTCTGTGTATGCCAGAAGAGTAATTTAAAGTGGGAATCTTATTTCAAAATGCTCTTTGCTTCTTGTGTGTGTTTCTATATTTTTGCTTTCTGAGGTGGACTGGTAAATGTTTGTGACATTTCATCTCTTGGTGACCATTCAAATTTAAGTCAAAGTAGCAAATAATTTAAAGTGGGAATCTTATTTCAAAATGCTCTTTGCTTCTTGTGTGTGTTTCTATATTTTTGCTTTCTGAGGTGGACTGGTAAATGTTTGTGACATTTCATCCCTTGGTGACCATTCAAATTTAAGTCAAAGTAGCAAATAATTTATCTGAGTGAAATGAGTAACAATAATTATAACAGGCAAACATTGTCCATCAGCACATATACTTGCATTTTAGACTCTAGACTCTTTGGTTGACATCATTCAATGGAAAAGAAACTTGGATTAAATCAGTGTGCTGCTCACCTTCCTGGGTTCTGTTATTTCAGAGTTGTGAACTACCCTTGCAGTGCACTGTAAATCAACAGTCACCATCACTTTCTAAATCCCCCCCACCATATTACTAGAAATAAATGTGGATCATCATGCCTCCCGGGTTTCAATTTCCTTGAAGACATTTTTGTTCATATACCGGTACCCCCAAGGGCACAAATGTTTGGCCATCTTTCCTCCTCATGAGGAGGTGAAAGAAAATTTCCTAAAGCAGTGGTTCTTCAGCTGGATTACTAATTAGACTCATGGGGCACTTCGTGAATGAGTCAACCACTGGTCCCATCCCAGAGATTCACATTTAATTAGTTTTAGATGGGTGTAGGCATCAGTATATGTATATTTTAAATTCAGGTGATTCTATTCTCTAGCCAAAATTGAAAACTACTACCCTAAATCATCATATATTCCATGCTGGCTGCTCTATACTCTGTGTCCCTAAGTGCCAGGCATATTATCTTTATAAGTCTGTTTCATTTTAATAAATAAAGGAAGGAGCCGTTCATTGATCAAAGATATAAAGGCTGAGTAGTTTCCAGAGGTGGTCCCTTGATCAGGATACCAACATTACCTGGAACTGTTTCAAATACTACTACCCACCCTCATCTCAGACCTATTAAATTGGAAACTGTGGCTGGGGCCTAGCAATTGGTGTTTTAACAAGCCCTCCAGGTAATTCTGATGTGCTTTAAAGTTTGAAACTGCTGTCATGGACTATTGATTATATTGAGGATTAGTCCCAGCTGGAAAATTGATTGCAGAAGCATTGTGAGATTCTCTGTCTCTGATTCTCTCTCTTTCTCTCTTTTCCTGTCTCTCTGTCTCCCTCACTATTTTTCTTTCTTTCTCTAGGAAAGAATCACTCTGAAAGTGATTGATTCAACTCTAATTTTTACTGTAACTGTAATGTGTTTATAAGTCTTTCAGCCCCACCCCCTGTTGAGGATGAGCATCACTAATGGCACATCCTAGATCCGCATTGTCTGTGTTCCTGTTATGAGTGGATTTCATCTGTGTTGTTTCCAGTTTCACTTATCACTGAGCTGCATTACTGTGGAGCTCTACAGTATTTGTTCCCTGATCTCAACCCCAGTGTTACAGAGCACTTTGGATACAGAGCACCTTACAGGAAGAATTGTAAACTCCCTGATTCCATTGAAGAATGAGTTTTGTACAATGTGCTAAATGGAAATTGCATTGGATTATTTTTATATTTAACACATTCCATCAAAACATTCTGTAACATAATTCTACAATCTGCATGTGGGTTTAACTATGAAAATCAGTGTTGTGATATTTTGATTAAATGAATTCTTTCTCTGAAAATAATATGTTAATAAAATTATTTCTCTGTTCAGTTGAATTGTTTGCCTAGTTTCACTACTAAAAGCATAAATAAACCATTTGTTTACAGATAAGACAGGTGAATGGTTCCTTATAAATTACACTCAACTTTTAAAATCTTCCTTGTCCTTTCCTTATAAAATTTAATAAACTCCATAGAGCAGAGAGAATTAGTTGCATTGGGCTATATTTTCAAGTATATGTTTATATTGACTGCATTCAATCATGTCTTTCACATGCATGGAATAATCAGAGAAGGAATTATTGTCACTGTTTCATAAATAAGTAAATAGAAGCTCAATAAAGCTAAGTGGCTTATAGAAATATGGTCAATCTCAGTTCTTTGGCTCCAAACCCTGACTTTTTCATCACGTATACTACCCTCTAGGAAGAAGTACAGTAAATGGATACAAGATACCATATGTGAACCCCTACATATTTTTGTTTACTTGTAGAAGGAATAAGAGAAGAAAAGAAGGCTGAGTTTGAGAGCAACTTTGAAAGAATTTTAGCTGTTTTTATTCCCTATTCTTTTGTACCTTTTGCTGCTGGCCACAGTGACAGGGAACTTTCTTTACATGACACAATGGGGTGGTATAGAAGGGGAAAGATCGAATCTCATTAATATATATGCTCTTTCAGCAAGAAGGGAGTTATATTTCCAGCCACTGTCAAAGAATACAATGAATTATTTAAATAACTCGAGAGAAAAATAGACAACAAAACTAAAGATAGGCAGAATTAGACTAATTTCTTGAGTTAAGCCTTTTCTACAGCTTTATAAATTCTTGTGTTGAACATTTAAAGTATAGATGGGTTGCTTAACGCTTCTAAGATCAGTAATTTTGTCACAATTATTGCTCTTGGTAAATGATTGTTTGAGAAAAGAAAAGGAAGCCTTAAGAAAGATGCATCTAGTAAATGAACTATTCAAAAAGCTTTGAGGACAGCCCAGGAGAGGCCACTTCTGACCTTGGAAAATATTTGCTTCCAGTATTCTATACCACCCTACTGTATCATGTAAAAGAAGTTCTGTGTCACCATGCCTTGCAGCAAGAGGTATAAGAGACAGAATAAATACAGCTATAATTCTTTAAAAGTTTACCCTCACACCCACGTTTTCTTCCTTTTTTTACTTCCTTCTAACATCATGCCCTGTGACAGGAAGAACTGTGGTCTTCAAAACAACAGGAAACATTAACTCTGTAAGATAAAATTCTGGCTATGTAAGAATACACATTCCTTTTGAAATTTCAGAAGTCTCAGCCTCTTTAATAATCTGTGCAACCCTTCCAATATTTTAGAATGCCGCAGTAACTCCATCTCTTCTTAGGCAAAGTAAGGTACTCAGAATATTCCTGGGACAGAGAACTTGATACCAAAGCCTATTTAAGAACTGGCTCTGTGCCTCCTTTGTCCATTGTTTTCTGGTCTTACTAAGTATCTACTTACAATGAAAGGTTATGTTAAGGATAAAATTATAGAGGAAATCTCACAGTTGTTCAAAAGCTTGGTACTAATGTGACACAAAGACCTTTGAGCTGGCATGGTGTACCCTGGAGGGAAGAGGATGTTTATCTGGGGATTTATTGGTGAGGCTACTTTGCAAGTGTTCAAGCTTCATAAGCACTTTTGTCATAATGTGAACCCAAGAACTTGCCTGCACGCCAGACCTTGCCTTTTGCCAGTTCCCCACTTGCTCTTCATTATGGATGCCAACTCTTCATTTACCAGTGTTACTCTTTTGTCTCTGGGATGTCATAAATGACAAAGGAACAACTTGAAATTTGGTGTAGGTCTTGAGAAAGGGGATGTCCTTCATGACTGGTTAGCAAATCCTCACACAAGTCGGTGGTTTTCAGTTCTTTGTTTTCAAGAAAACTAAATGAGGATCTAACTGAATTGTCAGCTAGGAAGCCTTCAGAATAACTTGGAATTTTATCAGTCTGAGAGTTTTGGTGAATCACTTAGGAGGAGTTCAAAGAAGAGCAGTGAAGCACCATGCAACCAGACCACCTCCACACCCATCTACTCACTGATGTGACATGCACAAACCCTACTGTATGTTTCTGCAAATAAGCAGAAAATAGAGCAGACCTCATGTGGCACACTCTCATTCAGCAGTAAATAATTCATTCACTGATATACTAACTAAAAATAGGAGTCACTCTATTAAAAGATGCATTTCTACTTCACTTTTATATCTAATGTTTATCTAAATGCATAATAATGTATACAGTTTTGATAGACTGCGTATTAGTACTTATTATAATGATAGCTCAGTTCAGATGAAATTTAACACATAGAACCTATAAGAAAGTTTTTAAAATTAAATTTTAATTAATATAATGATTTAGCTAGAGAAGAATGACAGAGTAATAAAAAAACTTCAAAGCATAAAAATACACTACAGTAGGATAAAAATCTGCGGGTAAAGTGGAATTTTTTTCATTAAAATTAAATAAATTTATTCTTATTAAGAAAAAATGAATGACGTGAGATTTCTAAATGTGAAAGAAGAGCTCAGTTATGTACATTTGAAAATGGGTATCTTAGCTTCCTCGGGAAACACGCTACAGCAGAAGTTTGTATACAGAAGATTTACTTGAACCTGTGCTTGAGAATAACACTGTGGGGGAGTAAGGGAAGCAGAAATCGGTCAGGTAAGAAGACGAGCTGTGACGGCTCACCCCAGAGGCTGCAGCCCATACCATGCGGAGTTCTTGAGCTCAGATGGCAGAATGGGATAAGGGGACCAGGCTTCAAATTCACAGGATTCATCAGTGTTGGCTGCCTTCCCCAGAGGTAGCATAACTTTTGACTAGTCAAAAGCACTTCCTGTGATTGAGTTGGATGGGAGCCCACAGTAGATCCCATTCTAGCAACTGGGGCATGCATGTACTGGCCGTGAAGAGGGAATCTGAGTGGCACCCCACAGCATCCTATACATGGATAAAGGTGATTTCAAATTGTGCTGGAATTTTTATTTCTTTGGACACATTTAGGAAAAAAATGTAAGCATTTTATCTTAAAAACATCCCATTTTATAGCATGCTAGAAATTACATCTGTAACTACAATTTAAACTTAGATGAAAATATGTAGATGCCAAGGAAACAATGTGTGAGTGGCTACTGACAGTTTCTCAAAGTTCTCTCAGTGGTATGTGAGCAAAAATACTTGAAGAGCACTGGTTTAATGGACAAGGTGAGTAACACAGGACTGCATTTCTCAAGCTCGGAGGCATGGCAGCCGTTACAACTGAGTTGTTAAAATTTTAATTAATGTGTGAAGTTTGTTGTGGCTACATACTGTTAAAGTGATGTCTGTCAGAAAAATAAATGAGAGGGTCATGCATGGTGTTGCTACAAGGAGGAAGTAAATCCTCGTGCAATGTCTAGCTGTTTCAAAGGAAGGAAATGTGCCTCTTGAGTGTGTCCAAGTGCGGTTGGGTTAGTCAACAGTTATGCTCAAGCAAATTAGTCTAACTATATAAACTAATCCACACTCCTTGATGTGCCACAGAAATTTTGGTTTTCAAAAATAAGCCTTCATCACGAAAGTTTGAAACCAAGTACCTCAAGGAACGCATTGCCCTAAACCTCCTGGTGGAATGAGTGACTTAGTAGACTCTTCTTTTAGGACTGTTATTAAATCTTAATCAGGTTTTTAATCTCTCTTTCCCCTCCTTATCTTCTCTAGTAGATCTGTTAGAATGCAAGCGACAGATGCTGTAACAAGGGGAGAAGGAATTGTAGACTTCCAACAATTTCACTTCCTATAACACAGTCTGGCTTGTTCTTCAGTAAATGTTAGTTAGCCCCAGGAGAGAAGATGGGCCATGTTCAAGTCCTGTGCCAAGAACACTGTCTGCCCCATGGCACATGCTCAATAAATGTATGGTAAGTAAGTGACTAAGTGAACTAAAATGCAGATTGAGTTAATGTTGTTGTATGTTGTTTTGAAAATTTTTAAGGCACCCCATTTGATTGATTTCGATAGGATGCAGGGATCATCTGATTATTATTTTTTTTTGAGAGAGCATCTCTCATATTTATTGATCAAATGGTTGTTAACAACAATAAAATTCTGTATAGGAGGGTCAATGCTCAGTGCACAATCATTAATCCATCTCAAGCCTAATTCTCATCAGTCTCCAATCTTCTGAAGCATAACGAACAAGTTCTTACATGGTGAACGAATTCTTACATAGTGAATAAGTTCTTACATGGTGAACAGTACAAGGGCATTCATCACAGAAACTTTCGATTTTGATCACGCATTATGAATTATAAACCATCAGGTCAAATATGAATATTCATTTGATTTTTATACTTGATTTATATGTGGATCCCACATTTCTCCCTTTATTATTATTATTATTTTTATTTTTAATAAAAGAGCATCTGATTTTTTGATGGAAGAGAAAATATTTTCATAAAATATTAGAGGTAATAAGGACACTAGAGACCAAAGATTCCACCAGTTTCTCTTTAGATACCAGATAAGGCGGAGGCCTAGAGGGTCTGAGGAATGGGGAATGGGTTACACACAGGCTAGAAACAAAACAGGATTGGAACTATCTTTTGTCTAGAGTTTATTTTATTTCACAATGTTGATTCTTATTAGGTTTGCTTTTTATAGATGCAGAATCCTAATTTCTAATCAAACTCACTGTCTAAAACCCAAGAGGGTATTATGCTAAATAAAATAATTCAGAGAAAGGCAAATGCCATATGATTTCACTTATATGTGGAATCTAAAATACAAAACAAATGAACAAACAAATCAGAAAGAGACCCATAAACACAGAATGGACTGGTGGTTGCCATACGTGAGGGGGTGGCTCATGGGTAAAATAGGTAAGGGGGATAAAGAGGTACAACATCTAATATAAAATAAACTAGTCACAGGGATGAAGTACAGAAATGAAAAGCTTTTTTTTTTTAATAGAATAACGAATTCTTTAATTCTTGCTTTGCTAATACTAAAATGCAAGTTTTCAAATAGCAGTTTAAGT